TATATATATATATATATATATATATATATATATATATGTGTGTATATATATATATATATATATATATATATATATATATATATATATATACAGTATTAGTATATACAGTGGACAAAGACAAACACGTGTAAACGCATGTTGGTTTTTTTTTTAGACTGCCTGAAACCAAACCTGTCGGTTTTTATCTTAGGCCGCACCTGAGTGACGTCACCTGCGCGTGAGCTTCATTGGAGTGTGTGTTTTTCCTGAGCAGTTGAGACACACCTGAGCAGCGCGCACTAAGGAGCGGCTCGGATCAGAGCTTCAACGTTTGTCCACGCGCCAGGACGCAGCGGAGCGTCTCCAACTGAAAGAAGGTCTGAAAATGTTCCGGCTCTGCTCTTCCTCACCTCTCTCCCTCCTCCTCCTCCTCCTGTCGGTCTCGCGGCCCAGCTGGGCCTCGGACTGCAGCGACAGGTTCCGCTCAGGTGAGGACAACTTCGTGATTGACGGAAAGGACTCTGTGAAGCAGGGCGCCAAGCTGCTGTCCACGCAGAGCGTGCCCGCGGACGTGGCGTGTCAGCAGCTGTGCTGCCAGAACCCGCGCTGCAACCTGGCGCTGCTGGAGCCGCGCGCCTCGGACGCGGAGCAGGCGCGCACCTGCGTCCTGTTCGACTGCGTCCACAAAAACCGCTTCGTGTGTGAGTTCGTGAACCAGGCGGGGTACCAGAGCTTCATCAGACTGACCGAGTTCCACACCTACCTGAAGGAACCAGGTGAGTCAGAATCAGTCGGTGCCCGGGTCAGTACATTACGTCACCACCCCACCTGAGCTGTTTAATCACCTGAAGCAGGAATCACCACCCAGAAGAACCAGAATGTGAAGCAGTTTCTTCCCTCAGGCTGCCGAGTCTCCAGTATCAGACAAGATAAAGTTTCATGAGATTACAAAATCAATAAGTTATTATTGATATTTTCAGGTGTGATCCTTTAAATGTCTCCTTCAGACTTTAGCTTCTCAGTTTTTGTCCAGCAGGTCTTTAAAAACCCTGATGAAGTGATTCAACTTCCTACATAACTTGATTAAACCCAACTTTAAATGGCACCTTAAAGGACTGGGCGGCACAGTGGAACAGTTGGTAGAGCTGCTGCCTCTCAGGTTGCTGGGTCAAATCCCAGGTGGGGACCTTTCTGGGTGGAGTTTGCATGTTCTCTTCTGCTGCGTGGGCTTTTTCCAGGTAGCTTAGCCTAACTGAGGACTCCGAATTGTCCATGAGCTGTTTAGTGCAAATCATTGTGGTCCTGTTTGTGGGCACCTGGTGTGTGACTTGAGTGTGTGGGTCGTGGTCACAGAGATTGCTGTACCGTTTATATATTCTTTCATTCAACCTTTATTTAGACGGGTAAATCCCATTGAGCCTCCAGGACTCAAGAGAGACCTGAATATACAACAATGATACAGATTCAAGGAAAAATGAGAATATTTAGAACACAAAGTTTTCAAAGTCGCACAAGGTCTAGTATTGGTGTACACGTATAGTATTGGAGTATTAGAGTTAAAGGTCTAGGAGTTAAAGGTCTAGGAGTTAAAGTTCTAGGAGTTAAAGGTCTAGGAGTTAAAGGTCTAGGAGTTAAAGGTCTAGGAGTTAAAGGTCGAGTATTGAGCTAGACGTTTAGTAAAATCACCTTTTTGGTGTAAATTTATCTGCCATGCCATTTTTTAAAAGCAAAGAGCTTTCAGCAGTCATCCTTCAGCAGCTTTCAGCAGGCATCCTTCAGCAGCTTTCAGCAGGCATCCTTCAGCAGCTTTCAGCAGGCATCCTTCAGCAGCTTTCAACAGGTGTCCTTCAGCAGACATCCTTCAACAGGCATCCTTAAGCAGCTTTCAGCAGGCATCCTCAAGCAGCTTTCAGCAGGCATCCTTAAGGAGCTTTCAACAGGCATCCTTAAGCAGCTTTCAGCAGGCATCCTTCAGCAGCTTTCAGCAGGCATCCTTCAGCAGCTTTTAGCAGGCATCCTTCAGCAGCTTTTAGCAGGCATCCTTCAGCAGCTTTCAGCAGGCATCCTTGGCATCCTTAAGCAGCTTTCAGCAGGCATCCTTGGCATCCTTAAGCAGCTTTCAGCAGGCATCCTTAAGCAGCTTTCAGCAGGCATCCTTAAGCAGCTTTCAGCAGGCATCCTTAAGCAGCTTTCAGCAGGCATCCTTTAGCAGCTTTCAACAGGCATCCTTGGCATCCTTCAGCAGCTTTCAGCAGGCATCCTTCAGCAGCTTTCAGCAGACATCTTTTAGCAGCTTTCAGCAGGCGTCCTTCAGCAGCTTTCAGCAGGCATCCTTCAGCTGCTTTCAGCAGACATCTTTTAGCAGCTTTCAGCAGGCATCCTTCAGCTGCTTTCAGCAGGCATCCTTGGCATCCTTCAGCAGCTTTCAGCAGGCATCCTTCAGCTGCTTTCAGCAGGCATCCTTCAGCTGCTTTCAGCAGGCATCCTTGGCATCCTTCAGCAGCTTTCAGCAGGCATCCTTCAGCAGCTTTCAGCAGACATCTTTTAGCAGCTTTCAGCAGGCATCCTTCAGCTGCTTTCAGCAGGCATCCTTCAGCTCCTTTCAGCAGGCATCCTTGGCATCCTTCAGCAGCTTTCAGCAGGCAT